GGTGCAGGGAGTAATGTGAGTGCTGATTCCTTCCAGACCAGGCGGACCCGGAGAGACGAGGTAGCTGTCGACGTCCACAGCTCCGTTTCTTCCTTATCATCAGTATTTCATTTATCTTCGGACTATGTTCTTAGACACAGACTTGTAGTATTTCATTTAAACTCTGTAGTAGCTCATGACTTGTGACACCCCGATCATCGGGCTGAGTCTGGGATGGTTTTTCCCCGTTATGTTACGTTTTATTTCCGCACTTATGATTATTCAGTAACTATGATTTAGACCTGTTTATGCTAAGAAATTGTTAAAAGAAGTGTTAATGTTCTGTTGGCTGGCCTTGTCTTCACGAGAGGCGTCATCACGACCGGGTTGGGAATCGGGTCGTGACAAGTTGGTATCAGAGCCAAGCCCTTTCCCCTCGAATCGACCTCCTCGCGCGTCGAATCTGATCAAAACCATAAGGAATACATTACAATAGGCCAAAGAAACATAACCCAATCGAAAATACTCGAAAAACGTCGAAAATCATGAAGTTGGCAAAACCCAAGCCCTGGGCCCACTTCTCGAAAAATTACAAAATTCACATCTCCGGATTCATGAAATTTTGCACACACATCCAAAATCACCTAACGGAACTACTGCAACTCTCAGAATTCCATTTCGACCCCCGGATCAAAATCTCACCCACCAACCGGAATTCGCCAAAATACTAACTTCGCCAATTCAAGCCTAATTCCACAACGGACCTCCAAAATCACTTCCGATCATGCTCTTAAGTCAAAAATCATCCGCCGAAGCTAACCGAATCACCGGAAATCACATCCGAGCCCTCTAACTCAATAGTCAACTTCCGGTTGACTTTTCCAAAACAAGCTTTCCTTAAAGAAACCAAGTGTCTCATTTCCATCTAAAACCAATCCAATTCAACTCGATCACCTCAAATACCGATAATGAAGCATAGAGAAACATAATATGGGGAAAACGGGGCGATAACTCACGTGACGACGGCCGGGTCGTCACACATATGACTACATCCATATTAGTGAATGGACTTATATGGTTGTTGTAGGCCGATACGTATGACCTTAATATAAATGGTCGATATTACTATGAATCACAACGATAGTATATGCATAGGTAATCATATTAGTAAATGGACCTATACGGTTGCTATAGGCCGATACGTATGACCTTAATATAAACGGCTATTATATAAACGGTAGAGTTTACTACAATCACAGCGATATAATTAGCCTTAGGTAATCATATTATTGAATGGACTTATATGGTTAGCTAATCGGACCGATTACCGTATGACCTTAATATAAACGGCTATATATAAACGGTAGAGTTTACTACGAATCACAATGATATAATATTAATATAAACGGCTATTATATAAACGCTCGAGTTTACTATGAATCATACGATATAATTAGCTTAGGTAATCATATTAGTGAATGGACTTATATGGTTGCTATCGGCCGATACGTATGACCTTAATATAAACGGCTATTATATAAACGGTAGAGTTTACTACGAATCACAATGATATAGTTATCTTAGGTAATCATATTAGTGAATGAACTTATATGGTTGTTATAGACCGATGCGTATGACCTTAATCGAAACGACTATTATACAAGCGGCCGATATTACTATGAATCACAACGATATAATTAGCTTAGGTAGTCATATTAGTGAATGGACTATTGTTATAGGGAATTATTAGGTAAATTAGAAAAGGAAAAATAAAAAAAGTCGGAAAGTAGAAAAAAATTCAGGTAAAAATTAGTCTGAAGAAGGAAATAAATAAAGTAGATAAAAAATGTAACTACTGATTTAACCATTTCTTTTTTTTTTATTAAAAAATGATTGTCTTGATGGGAAAAAATAAGAATCCACCTTTTAAAGGTGAGATTCGATCTCGAGACGCCTCACTCATAGATACCCTTACTTAACCAACGCACTGATTAGAACTTCGATCTCTCAACCAACCAAGTATACATTTTCTTGGTTGTATCAGTCTACAAATCACCTGTGGTTGAACAACTTTGTTGTTCCATATTGCATTACTTCAAAAAGAAATTTCTTTTTGTTTGCAGCATATTCCAAAATATTTTTACGTCCACATTCCCGAATCACATAGCTCGGCGGTTCTTCACTATGATGGCGCGCCTTGGTTTATGAAAATGAACATGGGTAAGCGGAGATGGTTCAAAGACGGATGAAAATATTTTGTGATGAATAATAACATCAAGCGGGGTTGGTTAATTAAATATGAGTTGGACGAAATTACACAATTCTGTGTTATCTTCCAATTGCACGTGAAAGGCCGAGGAACTCTCCAAGATCCAGTTGAAATTAACTAGTGTTTAAATTTATGTTTTGTCTTCCTAGTTTGTGTTTTTTATAACTTTTGTATTTTCCAGTAGTATTTCCAGTATGTTTTGGTATGTAATGTGTACTTATTTCCAGTTAGTTTTGGTAATTTTCAGTTATCTATTTGGTATCATTCTACTACCCTAACGACAAACCCTAACTATCTGGTTGGAAAGTGAATAGTCTTCAGTTCAAAAAAGGGTTGGTAACCGAAAAAAATAAATGCAATTCAACTAACACCACATTTATCCCTGAAATAGTAAATGCAAGTCAACTAACACCATTAATTACCACAATTCAAACAAAACCAGATAATAGGTTGTTTTTTTCATTGAAAGGAACAATACACCCTTCAAACAAAACCAGATAGTGTGGCCAAAAATAGATTATTTTTTTCACTGACAGGAAAATTAGGTAGCAATACACCCTTCAAACAAAACCAGATAGCGTGGCCAAAAATAGGTTGTTTTTTTCTCTGACAGGAAACTAGCATTCAATACACCCTTTTTTATCAGGAGGGTGTTTGATATATATTTTTGGACTGACTTGGCCCCTATAAATATGGTCACAAACTCAAACCCTAAAGACCTAAAACACTCACACACTCAAACCCTAAACTATGGATGCCTCTCCCACAATCGTCATATTGGTCTTCTTGTGCTAATGTTATATCTACCCTTTCAATATACAAAAATATTGAAAGGGGAATAAAGAGCAAAAATACAGAAGAAAATAATAATAAAGAATGAACAATAAAATAAAGAAATATTTAACAATTACATTTTGTTAGTGTAGTCCTCTAAACTAAAATGAAGTAATAATAAAATAAAGAAATATTTAACAATTACAATTATAATATCACACGTGTCAAAAAATTCAAAAAAAATCTATCTCAAATCAAATTAAATAAGATTCAAACTTAAATCATCTCAAACTAAATGGTCAAGTCTTCTATCTCCCAGTTTGCTTCATCGTTTAGATCAGGCAAGCCACTCTGTGGTAGTACTGTTGCATCATCTTGCTGTATAGAGTAAATAACACTAATAAGCAATGTATTTTTTGGAAAAAAATATAATAATAATTTGTTATACTTTACCTCAATTCCTTCCGCTAGCCCAATATTTCCACCACCTCTGCCACCACCTCCACCACGGCCTCTACCATCACCTCTACCACCACTTCTACCACCACCTCTGCCAACACCTCTACCACCACCTCTACCCCTCCTATTACCTCTAACTCCACTTCCACCACCCGTTTGTGAACTTCTAAAGTATGAACCAATTCGCCCTCTATATCTATTCAACCTTGGACGTCCACGGGAAGCTACGTATCTAGGATATCTTATATTTCTTCCTTCACCCTCACCCTCACCCTCACCTTCACCCCCACCCTCACCCTCACCCCCACCCACACCATCATGTGTATCTTCCAATTTCCAATCTGGAACTATCATTTGATCATCATCCCAATTCAAAAGGTCTTGCTCCAATCTGTTCAAATGATACTTAACATATAGCCTCATCACTTCAGTGTCCAAGGAAAATATCACAAACCCATTCAAAACGCTTTAAGAGTTTCCTGTACATCATGTATTCAGAACTCATACGTGGGTAACCTCCTAGAAAGAAACGTTTCAAGTGCAGGCGAACAACATCTTTTCTCCACCTTTTTAGTATATATCTCTCATTAACGTTTCTAGTCCTCTTATGAGACAACACCTTAAGTATATGGCACCATAGAATACGTCTTGTTTCAAACCACTTGCAGCTGCAACTTAGATATTAGCCATTACGTGTATATTCAACTGTGAAAATAAAAGGATCTCTAGTGTTAAAGTTTCTGAACGAATAATCAGCGATAATGTACTTCTCCACTCCAGCTATTGCTTGATGGTCTTCAGGGGTGCTGATTTCAAAATGGTACAGTTTCCTTAACTGTACTTGAAAAAATTCAAACACTTCACGAGTATAACATGTTTGAAATTTTTCCTCCCATGCAAATTCTGATAAACATTTTGGTTCAAAGCACCTTGACCTATATTCAGCTTCCAATTCTTTCTCGAACTTAGCTCTTATGGCTAACTCATATTGCTGAATAAATAGCTTCAAAGTGCTTTGGCGGGTGATGAATCCGTCAAAGAAAGCATGCATTCCTTCACTTCTTTGTGTGGACGACATCCCAGCCCAAAAGTGGTCATTTAGGTATACAGGAACCCATTTCTCCTTCTCCAAATAAAGCTTATAAAACCAATCCCTTCCATCTAAGTTATATTTTTCAATATATTCAGTCCATCGTCTCTCAAACTCAGCAACGTTAATGTTATCAAGGACTAAAGCCTTAAATTCTGCCTTTGCAATCTTAGCATCAACAACTCCGCTTAACTTCGTAGGCAACATTGCGAATATGTACCATATACAATTATCTATGTACCGTATTTGGCATCAATGCATTGATGGTAGCCTTAATACTATCACATTGGTCAGTAGATAGCCCCAAGCCATGTAGATAGCACCATTTTTGTAACTTGTTATATCCTCACTCGACATAAGAGCACATCCTAAAAGTATGGACTGCCTATGCTGATTGACACCAACAAATGAAGCAAATGGCATATTGTATCAATTCACAAGGTATGTGGTATCAAGGCATATTACATCATGGAACTCCTCATATGCAACCTTAGAGTGTGAATGAACCCATATGACATTACAAAGTCGACCAAAACTATCCACATCTACGGAGTAGTAAAATTCCCTATCTTTTTGCTGCATGTCACTGAAGAACTTGAGTAATGATTGTGCATCCCCTTCTTGCAACTGAAGCTTTCTACTCTTCAAAATACAATTTCTACAGTCCTTTGGTGTACATCCAAGATTTTCGGGGCCACCAGCAAGTACTTCAGCGACTCTTATATTTTTTGAGGGTCTTAAGCCAACAATATCTTTGGCTGCAAGAGTTCTCTTAAGGGACTTACTAAGCGATCTGTGTCCAGTCATCAATCGGGATAGTGCTGGATCCAATTGATGATTACGTTTTTTAACCACCTTTGAAACACGCCATGGACCATTCTCCTCCAAAATTCCATTTATTCTAGCATGACAGTTCCTCCTCTTGGTAACAAGCTTATTCCTTGGTTTCCTAGACCTATCACAACCATATTGCACATACATAACAATATCACCACCTTTTTTGTTTGATGTTCTTTTGACAATGCAAAACCCCGATAATCTTGCATGTTCTTTGTATAAATCAAACATAATATCCTTACTACTAGAGGTGGGCGTTCGGATTAAATATAGAATTTCGATTTTGATTTTTGGTTTTCGGATTGAAGAAATGACAATCCAAATCCAATCTAAATAAGCTCGGATTGGATTGGATTTTTTAAGTTCGGTTTCGGATTAATCGGGTTGGATATTTTGGATTTTCGGTTTTGAGCTCATAAGTTGACCTGTTTCTTCTTTTTACAAAAATGAATATCCAAATGAAGTACTCATATTAAATTGCCTGAAAAGTTACTCATTCTCATCGCAATCATCCAAATAAAGCATTCAAGTAATGAAATTACTATCAAGAAAATGCAACAGAGACATTAATACGGCCGATAAGAAGTAGTAATAGTAAAACCATGTCCAAATAGAAAGTATTCTGACAGTAACTTAGTAATTAATATTGCATATACGAAATAATTTTTAATGGATAGGGTATTTAACTTATTATTATTGACATATAGATAATGGACTACATATAAAGTATAAACTTTTCGGATTTTTGGATATCGAAAAATCAAAAGTACCAAATCGAACATCCAATCCGAAATCCAAAAATTTAAAAATTAAATCCAAAATTCAATCCATAATCCGAAAATCCAAACCAAAAATCTAAAAAATTCGGATTTCGGTTTGGATTTCGGGTTTGCCCAAACTATGCCCACCCCTACTTACTACTGAACCGCATCCCAGTAATTGGACCAATTACGAGATTTTCTTCATTGAAATCATTAGGCATTTCCCTGTCCTCTCCAACTTCTTCCTCTTCCTCTAAATAATGGCCGTCGTCATCATCATCATCATCATCAGCAGCAGCAGCAACACCATCGTCAACATGATTTTCTCCATCATTGAAGTTGCCGTCTGAATCAATGTCGATCGACTCATCTTCATTCATCAAACTGTCGTCCGAATTCAACCCCAATAATGTGTGTAATGCATTCCTTAGTTGCTCCGACCTAGTTTCTAGGCTGTTATTCGGGTTTAATGGCTCCAAACTAGTTTCTCAGTTAGAATTCATGTTTAGGTTAAGAGAAGGGTGGTGAATTATGTGTTTAGTGAAAGATCTCTTTTGATCAAAACTAGAATCTAGGAAGTTATTCGGGTTACAAAATAAATGGAAAATAATTATGTTTACATAATAGACTTTTGATCTTCCCATCCGTATAAATTACATTTTAAAAAAAATACGTAATTGTATTTAAAAAAAAAGTAATTGTATTTTAAAAAAAAAACATAATGAGCGTATATACGATTACTCCCATCCGTATATACGAAGGCTTTTCATCTTCCCATGCTGAGAGAATGATGATTTATGGGATCAATATTTTGGGAAAATCAAAATTTATTAACTAATTTTGGAGAGAAAAAATGGCCATTAAGCTAAACTCCAAAATAAGGGCTTTACTGGTATTTCACGTGTGTGGTTTTAGTTGGGCCACGCTGAGTTTGGCCGAATAGCAGCACTCTAATACATTTTCTTTGACTATGTAGAACATAAATATATGAGGGGTGGTTCTTTAAAATAATTATGTATTAACCAAAACTAAAGGTAAAATTAGCTAACTAACCTTCATAATTCAGATCACTCATCTTCTCATAAAGCATAATGATACCGGGGACCCACTTAACTTTTAGAGCACCTCTTTGTTGTATCATAGTAACATCTCAAAAAGAAGTGATAATTAAGTTGAGCGCGTTCTTTTGTTAGTTGAGTGCGTTTAAAATTGTAATTCTAAAATATTAGTGTTTTAGTGCATATATATTATCAAAATATATAGTATAGCGGGAGTTATTTTCTAGAAATTTTTATTACAAGGATATAAATTTTTTATGTTTGGTTACCAAAAAATGTTCCTCACAAAAAATAATTTCTTTCACTTATGGCGAATGTTATTTTTCTTACAATTATCTTATCTCTTAATTTATTATTATCAGAAGCTCCATCCAACATTTAGACACTACTATCAATCCTTAAATACTCAAATATTTTATCAACCACTACTCGATTTACTATTATTGTTATTATTATTACTATTATTGTTATTATTATTATATTTTACAATTTAATTTAGTTTACCGCATCTATATAAACGTTATCACTCATTAACAGTAAATGTATATGATTCTGCTTCAGCGTAGAACAAGAATTTATCTTGTGGTCATTCCATCAGTGATGATGACGACGACGACATTTTTGGGCACCTGATAGGGAAGGATTGACGGTGAAGCTTTCAGATTATTTTTTCGTTAAATAGATCCTTAGTACTGTAGTAGTTGTATTAATAACTAATTACAATATCCGACTAAATTATATTAACATAGATATCTTTGTCATCTTAATGCCAAACCAATAATGAATTACCAATGAGCTTACTAGGAGAATAATGATTTCCTATTAGCTCTTAATGATGCTAAATATCAAAAAGAGTTCCTTTCACTTTAACAATGACGCTATTGCTATTTGAGAATTCATAGCAGGTTATTATTGTTGTTAAATTATAATTAAAACAATAGACATTTACTAAAAATTACTTTATGATAGTGATTATATAACTATCTCTTATATTGTCAATACATTAAATTTAAATTAATTTTTAAAATTAAACTCCAGTATTTAAATATGTTTATATTAGTTTCTAAATATGTTAATCTATCGAAAAAAAATTAAGATGCTGAAGTCCAATAGCCTGTTTGGCCAAACTTCTCAAGATGCCAAAAGTGCTTTTTTTCCCAAAAGCACTTTTTTTTCCCCAAACTGAGGTGTTTGGCCAAGCTTTTTTGAGGAAAAAAGTGCTTTTGGGAAGAAGCAGAAGCAGTTTCTGAGAAGCAAAAAAAAGTAGCTTCTTCCCAAAAGCAGAATCAGAAGCAGTTTTGACTTTTCTTCTTACCAAAAATGCCCTTAACAAAATATAGTATATACCAAAATAACCGTTAAACCTATTACTTAGGATATTAATGTATGAATATTTCTTCTTATTTTTAGGATATCTTTCTAATATATAGTGACTTTAGCGGCGAATGCTTTTATATTTGTTGAATGATTTTTAATATATTTAATTTATATTAAAAGAATTAAGTACTTTTTAATTTTATTTTCATATTTTACTTAAATAAAATGAAAAGATTTAATTATTGCATGTAATAACAAATTTTTGAGATTATTTATTTACTTATAATATTAAGTATAAAGTAAATCTATTCATGTCCTTATTCGTAATTTGATACTTAAAAGCAATTTTTGAAAAGCTTGGCCAAACACAAATTATTGTTCAAAAGTACTTTTTAGAGTAATTAGCCAAACACAAACTGATTCTTTCCAAAAATACTTTTTTTAAAAGCACTTTTATAAAAAAATACTTCTCAAAATAAGCTGATTTTTCTGAAACAGGCTACAAATCTCATTGGACATTGCATGTGTTAAATTCCAGTTCTCCGACTATCGGCCTTTTTTTTTCTTTCTATTTCTTTAAAAAAGAAAAAAAATAAACAAAAATGAAAAACCGCGTAGTATTCGGATACTGTGCCTGTGTAGTTGCTCCATGTGACTCATCTCATCTCCTTCTACTTTGACATTAAAGTCTCCTTTGCTTCCATCACCATTCACACACACACACACACAGTACTAGACTTATAAATCTATTGCCACCTTTCTTTTATGAACTTCAGATCCAATTGAGGCTTTAAATCTCATAAAAAAAAGTAGTCATAGAATTCAGTACCATATGGCTCCACTTACTACTCAACAAAGTTGCAGCTTTTCTAAGGTACTTTTAGTACTTTGTCTTGTTTTAGTCTTATTAGATTCTTCATTCATTTCTGCTCAGACTCAAGATCACAACAATGCTTCATCAACAAGAATAAGAAGAATGTTGGAGTTAGACATTGATGATGATAATGATGATGATTTTCTTCAACCAATCAAGAAGAAATCCAGTTCAAGTATTGATGATTCTTCTCAACCAATCAAGAAGAAATCCAATTTACTTTCCAGTTCTAAAAAGAACCAAACTAAGCTCATCAAATCCACCACTAGCTCTTCCAAGAACCAAACAAAGTTAGCCAAGATTTCTTCTTCTTCCTCTAGTTTTGGTTCAATCAAGAACCAAACTAAGCTAGCAAAAACCAAACTTTCTTTATCTGATTCAGTTTCTAGTTCAATCAAGAACCAAACCAAGTTAGCAAAAACCAAACTTTCTTTATCTGATTCAGTTTCTGGTTCAACCAAGAACAAAACCAAACTCATCAACCCAACCCCAGAAGAGAAACTTTTACTCAAATCCCAATTGAAAAAGCTCAATTCCACATCCACCAAGTCCTTAAATCCAAATAAAACTACTTTGTTTTCAACCAAAAAATCCTCCTCAGATCTATCCAAAATCAGTCCTTCTTTTCCCAAGAACAAAACAACCAAAGCAACCACCCCAAAAGACCTAAATGAAGCCAAATCCAACAAAAACACAACAAAGAACCAATCTACAACAAACAAAAATCCCAAGAAAGAAACTACACAGAAGAATTCACAGCCTTATTGGCTAGAAAATGATGAAGATGACTTGTTGCTTGGTTTTAGAGACTTACCATCCAAATTTCAAGAAACCCTTTTGCCAGATTTAGAAAGAATCTCAAAAACCTCACAAGTTTACCTCAACAAAGCCAACAAAGAAATCACAAAAAACTTCAAACCCATTGTAGGTAACAAATATGCACCCACAATTGCCTCTGTAATTTCATTTGCATTCATTTTGATCCCTTTAATTCTTGTTTCTCTCATTTTCAACCGAATCAAAGCCTATTTTTCACTCCAAAGACTGTTAATTTTCATCCAAGTTTATCTCTCAATCTACTTCTCTATTCTCTGTCTTTCTTCTTTGGTTACTGGTTTGGAGCCACTTAAGTTTTTCTACGCTACTGCGCAGTCCACCTACATTTGCCTACAACTCCTGCAAACTCTTGGTTATGTGTTGTACCTCTTGATGCTATTGATGTACCTTGTTTTAGTATTCTCTACTGAGACTGGGCCGATTACGAAGATGATTGGGCTGGCCCAGACATTTGTGGGCTTTGCTGTTGGGCTGCATTATTACATGACGGTGTTTCACAAGGCTGTATTGCGTCAGCCTCCTAAGACTAGTTGGAGAATTCATGCAATTTATGCCACGTGTTTTCTTCTGATTTGTCTGCTGAGTAGAGCTGACAGAATTAAGAAAACTTACTTGGAAGAAGGCGGTGAGGAGGGTAAAAAGAGCTAAAAGTTTTTTTTTTTTTTTTCTTTTCCTTTTAATTCTTTTCTCTTATTACTTTATGAGCTATTGTTTTTTAGTTAGAAAGTGAAAAATAAAAAACAAGATTTTCACTGTCCAACATTATTTCTTCTTTATTCCAATGTGTAATTTATTAAGGTATTGTTATAATAAATGATGCAATTGCAGTAACGTTTGCTGCGTTTTTCAATGGTAACTTATTCAATAACTTAAATACCATAATAGTTGTTCATTTATTGTTCTCTTTGTAATTGTAATATTTAATTTTACTTCTGGGATCACATTCACATGTCTTTCTAGATACCTTGTGCTTTTATTGTCTCACTCACGGAAATAAATCAAAAGAGCTCATAGTATAGTATATATTCCATCAACAACATTTCATCAAAGATGAATATTCAGTTAAAGAATTTAATTAGGTTATTGACTTTACTACTGTACTTCACAACAATAACATTTCCAATAGTTTTTGTCATTGAATTATTCACTTTCTTCATTTAGAGTATATGTACCATTCTTCATGTATTCAATTTTTTTTTTCCACGTGGTGTTTGGTATTCGTATTAGTGCACCGACCAATCTGAATCAAGTCACTAAAATGTTCAACTGATTTTATTGGTCTAGAAAAATAAATTATGGCATTAAATGACCTAGTCCGCAATTTATAAGCCATGTGCCACGAGATTTATTGATAAAAACATTTATTAACAGTTGAAGCACAATATAAAAACACTGTTATTACTTGGAAAGTTAAATAACTTTACACAATACATGTACAAAAAGGATTTAGTTATAAAAATACTGATGTTGTGATACTTATATAACTTCTTATATTATCTAAAAAATAAATAAATACGATAAGAGAATTTCTTCCTCCTTCCTTTAATCTTGTTAGGGTAACATAGGAGTAGGATGAAGGTAGTTAATGATACACGTGCAGGGGAGCATGTAAGAAACATGTGAAAGTGGGATCCGGTGGAAAATAGACATACTTCCTTCGGTTAACTTTAGTTGATATTTTAGTTGTTTTAAGGAATTCACCTTTTTAGTATTAATTAATAATAAAATTGATTATATAATTTATTTATTATATAACAAATATTCTTCGACTCTTTACTCCATTGACAACGGAGTAGGATTAAGGTAGTTAATGATACATGTGCAAGGGAGCATGTAAGAAACATGTGAAGGTGGGATCCAGTGGAATATAGACATACTTCCTTCGGTCCACTTTAGTTGATACTTTAGTTGTTTTAAGAAATTTATCTTTTAACATTAATTAATAATAAAATTAACTATATAGTTTCTTTAATAAAAATATAACAAATATTCTTATGCTCTTTACTCTAGTGACAATTTTGGAAAAAAAAAAAGTTAATTCATTCTTAATATATGAAAAAATCAAATATTGTGAACCACAAAAAAAATTTAATTAAATAGACCGGAGGGAGTAGTACAGAAATCCAGCTAAACTGGAGCGTGTATAGTTACTATCTTAACAAAGAGAGATGATAATAGTTGGGCAAAATAGAAAACTGTATTTGCTGTCCAAAATATATATATATATATATATATATATATATATATATATATATATATATTTTATTAATTATTTTTTGAAGCGCTAAAATTATATATTTCTACGTAAAACTAGATGAGGAAAGGCCCGTATACGAGCCCAACATTGCAATTTTATTAAAATTATTATTTGTTGGTCTTTAGTTAATTAACTTTTGAGGTTTAACAAGTTATATTTTTTAAAATTACTTTTGAATTTAAAAATATTTAGTTTGAAATCGTCTTCATATAGTATGGATAGATGAAAATCATTTAATTTTTATTTTTAAATCGCTTTAAGATAGTATGGATAAATATGAAAATCTTGTAAATATCGATACTTTTTTTTTGTTGTTGTATTATTTAAAAATTAATTTTATTTTCTCTATGAAAACTTTTATTTGAATAAAACAAAATTAATAATTTTCCAAAATGATAAAAAAATTGGAAATGAGCATTTGCACTGCACAAACAGTCTAATCAGCACATGCATAGTGCATTTAAAGAAAAGTTGTGGCTAGAGGAATATGGGGTCCACGTGTACTTTGCATTTAAGAAATACAAACATAGATTTTTATGAAATGACATATATGCTCTTGGTCAACCATCTTTCCTTTTTTATATAATAGAATAAAAAGTATATGGGTACAAAGACATAAATGAAGAGTCAAATGTTAGTTATTTGGGCTCACAGGAATTAAGGCAACCGACGGGTTCGGACAAGGGAGGTGTCGGTGAGCTAAATCTGGAAATTCCAAAACAAAACGTAACAATCCACAGCAGCCAGCAGCTTTGTAAATGGAGTCAGCTTCATCTGCCTCCATCACCGACAAATATATTTGCAACGAAAAAACACAGTGCTTACGTTAAAAAAAACAATTATTTAATAAGTTACTATGCAAAGTGTAATAAGATTTTTGTATGATTTATGTAATTTAACTTGTTATAACAAAATATTTTTACCGTTTATTCTACATTACTAATTAATGTTTTAGTAAATTAATTTTATAATTAGATAAAATTACTTGCAATTACTTTTTACTTGCATAATTGTGTAATTATTTTTGACAGTAAATTAACAGAACTTAAATTCAAACCAATAAATGAATGATATATTTTGTATATAATCGTTTAATGCTTAACTAGAATTAATAAGTTACATTCTCATCTAATTTTAGTTTGTGCAAATACTAAATGCGACTATTTTTTTTTTTACTTTTAAGAATATGTTTTTTTTAATTCCTTAATACAATCACTATAATTGGGCATGGGCGAGGGTACATTTGGACTGGATCTGTGATGAGTCAAGACAAAATTCTAACAGACTGAAAAGCATGTCATGGGTCGTTGATCAACTCTAATATCTTATGTTCGAAGCACTGCAATATTTCAAGCATTTCCTGAAAATGTTTTACATTTATAAACTATAATGTCCAGTCCAGTCCAGCCCGCTAGTGATATTATTCGTTCTAGTCCTAGATCCTCACGGGTTTAAAACGCATCACTAGGGTCTACGGCTTATTAATTTATAAACCCAGCATCCTTCTTGTGTTTTACCGATGTGGGACTCTGTCTAAAGTCCAAGGTGTTTACATACACCCCCTCTTATGGGCTCAGCGTCATCGCTGAGGTTTGCCCCATCGCTTGGGATACGCCTACATTTAGCACTAAGGTTTGCCCCGCCTGATCGGAATTTTCCTAAACTCTGTTAAACTCCGACCCACCATCGGCAAGGCTGACACAAGAGTGGCTCTGATACCATATGTAACAACCCAGCCCGCTAGTGATATTGTCCGCTCTCGGCCTAGTCCCTCACGGGCGTCACTAGGGTCTAAGGCTTGTTAACTTATATACCCAACATTCCTCTTGTGTTTTGCCGATGTGGGACTCTGCCTAAAGTCTAGGGTGTTAACATAATACCAACTTGCCCCCCTCCTCCCAAAACTATGTGAGACGTGATTGACACTAAACCCTTGCCATTCGTTGAGCGAACCCTGTGCTAGTTGTGACATAACTTCCAGCTCAATGGCAAAAAAAGAAATATGCTTAAATAACAGTTCTAGTCAAGTTGCAATTCTAAAACTGTTTGATAAATGATAAGTGAACGATAAATCTCAAATATCTTAATACTGACTCACTAACAAGTCATGAGCCTATGGAATCTGATAAAACTGAAATACATAGCTTACGAGGCATTCCCCAGAAATAGTATAAATGTCTAAAAATAAATAAGAGTCTGAGACACGCCTGCTACCGCTGGAATGAATCAACAGAGTCTATCAATTGAATCTAGAATATCTCTTCTAGCCACGTGCCCTGTTATCAGCGACCTCAATACGTGCCACACAATGTAGCAGGTTTAAACGGGTTAAGTACCACCAAAGGATATCCAGTAAGTCTCATAAGCCACCTCCTAAAAAGGCGAAGCGAGACGTTCTGGGGAAAATATGGAACAAAACAGATACACGGAAATTCATATGAAGCATATAAATTTTCATAAACAAGTAATGAGGTAGAAACTGAAACTATAAGCTCAATTGTAAGCTAAAACTGAAACTTAACATAGCAACTCAGTGTGAGTGTGTGTGTCTATATATATATATATATATATAAACTTTTCGGAAAGTCATTACGCATGTGACCCTGTGTACGTGAGTATCTGGGAAAACGGGCGGGGAGTATCGGCCTATCTCCCCAACAAATAATTGGCACCTGCGAGCATGGGGTGGCTAACCCTGGCATCATGGCACTCACGCTGGGGGAGGTTGACCACTTCTCCCTATTGAATGCGCTCACATTAATACATGAATGAATGTTGAACTGAATATTGAACTGAACGTAAATATCACCAACAAATGCATATAACAGTGGTAATATACGTAGGCATGTAATTCTGTGACATATAAAGTCATACTGAATAAGAATGAAGTAAACTGAGTATTGAAGCATAAAAAATCGTAAATTAGATTTATCGAACAGAAGAAGTACGAGGATTTATCGAACGCTTGCACAAGCATACACGTAAATAAATAACCCATATCGGTCTAAGAAGATGAATCCTAATATTTTGAACACTTATATGTACTCCCGTGTACTTGCGTTATGTGTGAAAGTCATCATGTTGGTACGTGAGTTGTCCGTGCTGTCATGAGTCATTTTTATTGTTGGCACGTGAGTGGTTCTTGCGGATATTAGATATTGTCACCTTCTTGGAAGGTGAGTCGTTTGTACGGTTATAAGTTGTAATGTGGGAATAAGGTGCCAAATGATTATGGTTAATGAATTGGGACCCATGATTTGTGATTTGAGGTTTGATACCTCGTGGAAATTCTTGGAAAACCTAGTGTGAAAGCGGTTGTTCTTATCGAGTTGTTACTTGTTTTTCCTTTATTTTGTTTTACCGGATTTAAACTGTGTTCAGTTTACTCTAAAGTGTTGTTACCTATTTGTTCCCTGTTGATAATTGTTGCTTTTAGCTTCCTATTACAGGCATTGTATTAGTATTGTCATCATGCCTAGCTTTATAGAGATATCATTCCCTGTTAGTTCTACATTTATACTTGTTCAGGTTGTTTAGTCTAGTGGGTGTCTTGGTCGTTCCTCGTCATTACTCCACAGATGTTAGTCTTAATA